CAAGTGGTTATTTTGTTTCTCAGTAAGCTGAAATAACTTAGAGCAGGGGTATCAAACTCCATTTCATCGCAAGCCATATCAGCATTATGGTTGCCCTCAAAAGGCTGCTTGTATCTGTAAGACTAGATGTCCAGAGCACCCCACCCCCATTATATCACATGTCAAGAATCCCACACCCTCCCTAACATCACCGTGCACCCACTTTGGGGGCATAGCTGGAAAGTAGAAAGTGCAGGGTCTGGAGGAGGATCAGAGGAGGAGTGGAATCAGTTACCAGAGTCTGCTGAATGCTGAGACCAGAGGAGGCAGAGATGAGGGGTGCTGCAGCTGCACTGAGAGGTGCAAGATTTGGCAGAGAAGTTCTATTTTCCTCTCTGCTGCCGACTGCTGAGACAAGGTGGGGGCAGAGACAAGAGGGTACCTGCAGGAGAGGTGCAAGGGCCACAAGAAATTGCCTGGAGGGCTGGATTCGGCCCGCGGGCCTTGTGTTTGACACCTGTGACTTAGAGTGTCTGTGATGAGACAGGCTCAGAGAATGCAAACAACAACAAAGAGAAGGCACATCAACCTAGTTCATTACCATAACACAATTTTATTAGGTATATATAAAAACAAGTGAATACTCACAAACGCATGACAAGCACAGGCATATGAAGAATTTCCATTGAGACCACCTCCAGGTTCACAGTGCTCAACTAATGGCATGGGAAGAACTCATGGCATCCAAAACAAATGCAGCAGTTTTACTGCAGGATATAATAGAAGTCTATGGCTAAGCACAGAAAAGCTGCAGGTACACGCCACTGCATCTTTGCTCTCAAATTGTGGGTATGGGACCTACTGTACATGCATAACACAGCAAATAAAAACTGGTATAGAGAAAGCATATTTACACCGAACAAGTCTTTCTTCATTTATTAAGGAAGTGCCAGTTTAACACATGTTGTAATGTGAGTTATTCTGCTTCATTTTCTGCTAGTTTGTAGGACAGTGCTCTACTTATCTCAGCTCAATAAAGGCCATTCAGGATGTGAAGTGCTAAGGGACAAAGAAGAATCCTTCTGACATCTCCTGACACCTGTTCTCCAGCAGCAAACCCTTCCATAGCTGGTAGTTCTGTTTCCATGTATGTAAATATAAGGTTTAGGTATAAAAAAAATGTAGTTACTTTTATTGTATTAAATTCCAGCTATGCATAAAGAACATTACGTTACTGTTCTTTCAAACCTTTTTAGGCTATGCTCATAAAATTCAGTAGCTACCCTGGAATCTTTATAACCCCAACTCTTAGTGGCTATGTTGATACATTAGGGATTCCGCAACCCCCCACCCCTCCTCCCCATTCCCCAGCATCCAATATTTATAACCGCTTTTTTTTCCTGTATTTATTATTACTATACACTAGGGTCCCCAGTTCAAATCGTGGTCTTGTATTTGTGTAGGCATTTTCTGGTTTCCACCCACAATACAAAGACATGCTGGTAGGTTAATTGGATTGTGTCCAAGTTGGCCCTAGCATGTGTATGTATGAATGTGAGTTAGAGGCCTTAGTAAGCTCCTCAAGGGGAGGGACTGATGCGACTGTACAATATGGAAAGGCTGGACGGGCTTGGAATTATTTATTATAGGCAGTTATAAAGCACTGACAATTTACACAGTGCTTTATACACTGTACAGTCACATCATTTCCTGCCCTCAAGGAGCTTACAGTCTAAGGCCACTGTTTCGCAAACTTGGGCCAATTTAGACAGTAGCTAATTAATTTGCTAGAATGTCTTCAGAGTATGGAAGGAAACCAGGGTACTCCCACGCAAACACAGGGAGAACATGCAAACTCTATGCAGATAGTGTCAGGATTGGAACAGAGAACCTCCATGCTACAAAGCAGAAGTACTAACCATAAAACTACTTTGTAACCCCATTTATTTTGTGTTTGATTATTTTTGCTGTGGAAAGTTGTCTACGTTATTTTGAATGCTGGCAATACTGCCTATGTTCTTTTAATGTTGAAAATGGAATGAAGATGATTACAGACAGTGTGAAGCTGGCTGTGTTGACTCCCACCACCTGTGCCGGACACCCATTGCAGGGCTCATTTCACTCTCTAGGTAAGAATTTTGGCTGAGTATACACCCATATGGAAGAAAAATAAATTTTAAATATATTTTAAAAATATTCTTCCCAAATATATTGACATATATTTGAAATGCTACAATTTTGGCCATATTCAATATATTTCAAAATATATTTCAATAAATATATATACTGCTGTGTGAAATGCGTTTTTATTACAAAATATATGAAAAATATTTTTAAAAAATACATTTCAAATATACTGTGTCTTTAAAAATACAAATCTACATTTTTGGAATGCATTTACAAATATATGTTAAAATGACTTTTTTATATGTTAAAAAAAATCTGAAGAATATATTTAAAAAACATATTTTTAAAAATATATTCAGAATGGATGTGTATTGAGTAATAGAATTTGACCGTTTTTAACTAATACCAATAGGTTTGCTTGATATTTGAGATTTACATGAAGGGGCGGTGCCAACCGCTATAAAGGAATGTGCAAACAACCTTCTTTGGTCCTGACGAAGCTGAGTGAGATACGCCCATCGGTGAAACGCGTTGATGTCACACGTCAGTGATGTCACGGCTGACCATGATCCATTGAGGTCACGCACATACTCCCAGGAAGTTTTACGGGGTATTACAGCTGCAAGCCTCCCATCATGTGGATTATTACATGGCGGCCAACTGGTATCACAATCCAGCATTACCTGTGAGGATTTCAAGCTTTCAGCAGCAATTTCTTTTATGGTTTCCCATTGAGGATCTATATTATCTGCAGCAAGGGTGAGCTTCCATACTCTCGGTAACGGCCGTTGGTGAATTAACATACCATGTCTATCCATGTGTGACACGGCACTTTTTACAGGATGGTACACCACTAACTATAGGTTTACTGCTCTCCACAATAGCCATACAGTATTAGCAAGGACTATTTTGTCAGTTCATTATACTGGACGATACACACTGGGGTACCTTGGATTGTTTTGTGTTTACCAGCAACTTGTGATTTTCATGCTATCACTCACCCTACTGCCCATATATTATTGCCGCCAGCCTCACATAGTGAATTGCAATATTGCTGCTTATGCATACCTTACTGAGCCCGCCTTGTCATCCACTGGACTGAGCCACACATCCCATTCCACTCTGGATCTGTATTCACCACTATTTTGTGATTGGCCTGCCAACATATCATATTTTTCCAGTGACATATTTTGAACTTTGCACCTTATGTCTATCAGGCATTTTTGGTAGTACGCCAATTGCAGTTCCCCTAATCACATCCCGGTGGTGCACCCCGATGTATTTGCTAAGGTTTGACAGAAGACAGTTGTCACTGTCATATTAGCAACAATCATTCAATATGACCATACCATGACGTAATTTTTAATTTTGTTTTAGGTTGTGCAGACTATATTGTCTGAGGTGAGGTGATGGTTACCAATATCGTCAATTTTATTATGTGAAACATTCGATATACTTTGCATATACTTTTTGATATCAATAAAGCATTTATACACTATCCATGTGTTGGTTTACCGCATTGTCCTTATATGTAACCACTTTTCTGTGAACATCCTGTTCACATACTCCTTAGTCATTTTGTTACTTGGGTACTGGACAGCACACGTGTTGTGTAGCGGAACCTAATAATCTTAAATCTCCTTCCATATTTCTTTAATTACATATTGTTTTATCCACTTTTTATAGAGACCTTTTTTGTCTTAGTCTTGTCATGCCTAGCCTACTCATGCTACTAAAAAGTCCATGGATTCTTCCCCAACAACTTTCTCCTCTATTTACCACTATTTCCTTTGAAAGTGTACCCTAGTCTTGAGCTTTGTTTTTCTATTGATCTTTAATAATTTCCTGTACTTCTAAATTGGTGCCGCCATTTCTAATACTGTACATCTGTGACATATTCGTTTTCTACTCTTTTTCTGCTATACTATTCTGCATCTGCTCAAACCATTTTGTCTGACTTCTGTCTTATTGTCCTTAAGGTTGGTTCCATTACCATCTGACATTTTTCAGCATATAGGCCTTCTTATCCTGCCCCTTTTTAGTTTGCAATAGCTTCTAAATCTTCTTTCTTCAGTCTGTAATCCACTTTCCATTTGTATCGTCCCCACTGCTATGCTATGCCTCCGATCTATCACCATGTGATATCTTTGGTTTACTGTGATAAACAAATATACAACAGCTTTGAAAACCCTACTATAGAATTGTGTGTTATAGTCACTTTCCTATCTCCTCCCACTCAAAGCTGCATGTATTCCGTGCATATGTGTTTGAACTAGTGTTCCCGTTCCTCACCAGTCACTTGGTGTATTTAAGGATGCCTTAAAGGTGCTGTCAATCTATCCACTGGTTTCCTGCTGCCAACCCAATTTGGCTCATCACTGCCTGCTGTAAACTCTGCTCTGTACAGCTTGACTTTTTGGTTTCTGTTTTAACCCCATCACGCTGGTTGTGACTTCCCAGGTCTAATCCTTCTGTTTACTGAGGTTCTGATGGCTGCTCCTTCAACTACAGAATTATGGTACATAACCCCTGCGTCACCAAAATAGCATCGCATATGTATAAAATGCTAATGTTAAAGACCTTTATAGAACACTTTTTGTAAATGAGCTAGCTAGGAGCATAACAATATGATGAAAAAAGATGTTTGAGATGAATATAGAAGAAGAGGAAGTCAAGGGGCCAAGGAAAAGATAGATTAAAGTGTTACTAAACCTAGGACCCTGCATTCACTCTATCTGGTCTCCCACAGTACACAGAACATGGAAGTGCAATTATTTTAGTAAATATAAACTGCTAAATACCTTTTCTCATCAGCAGTTAGAGCAGGCTTGTGACTTCTATCAGTGTCCAGCACAGCTATAGCTTGTAGGAGGAGTTTTCATTTTGCTCTAGACGGATGCAGAACCCCTGGTCTCTGTCTGGACAGTGCTGATTTGCCCTGTGCTCATCACATGCACTCTCCCAAGAAAAAAAACAACCTCTCTAGCAATACACACCAAACTGAGCATTTGCAGAGTGTCTCCACACGATATGTCTTATCAGGAAATAAGAGGGGGACACTGGAAGAAGGGGAGGATCAGAGAAGACAGGATCACACAGCCTTTTTACACATACAGAGGAATAACCCCTTAAGTTCCACAGTATAACAAGCATTCTTTACTGCATATACAGACTGATATTACTGTTGTGGGTTTAGTAACACTTTAAGTGTATTACATAAAAGAATCTAAGAGAACAAGGAGTCAGAGGGTGATGAAACCAATCGCACAAGGTAGGCTAGGCTAAAAATGTGCAAGAGGCAAGTGCCCTCCAATGGCGGTGATGATAGACTATGTTATTTTTATACAAAGTTATACAGTATTAGTCAAGCTATGTATGCTTCTTGTCATGGAAGACTCTAGACAGGGTAAAGCATGATGTATACTGGAGAACTTTAGTATCTGTTATCAGCCAAGCCTACAGTTTCCTTGTTTAAATAGAAACGTATTTTAGGAGCAACTACTGGGAAAAAAAAGATTGCTAAACATTAAAAGTGTCCAATTCAGAAAGTCCACTGAAATGATCTTTTTAATAATCCATTGCAATCAGATTTAACTGAATTTTACAATGCCTCCTAGTGGGACTGCAGCCTTACAACCCCCCATTCTGAAAACAGGATACTCACTACCTGGGAGAATTTGGCCTGCATATTTATACCCAGGCTTCATGTTCCTATTAAGGCCTTGCATAAAATGAGTATACCAACCACCACAGGGATTTACCTTCTACAGAAGCCAGCTGACTAAGATGAATGCTTAAATGAAAACTAGAGGAAGTCAGCAGGACAGTATTGAGGCTGATTTACTAATGACGATGGGACTCTGCATAATAAATTGTGTGACTATTCATAATCCACCAAAACTAGAGATAAAAATCAACCTGACTTTGACTACCAACCCCTAGGCAGATTATTTTTTATCTCTAGTTTTGGTGGATTATTAACATTGATATACACCGATGTATCATCCTGATATAACATAAATATTTGTTGATCTTTTTTCTGCTTATTTTCGAACATTGGCAGTATTTTTACATTTGGTACTAGGTACCTGTTTTAAGGTTGCTTTTATTTGTGCTGTCTCGTGTGAATATTCATTCCAGTTATCCAAGTATGCCAAAGCACATTCCTGTTATTTTATTTCATCTGCTCATGATAGGATAATTCAAGTGAATGTTCACACAATTTATTTGTGAAAATTCTCATCTTTAGTAAATCTCTCTCAATGTCTATAGTGGGTTTAAGTGTCCATTTACACCAGATGCATTCATCAATGTCCGCGCATATATACATTGTAACATTGTACAAAACAAAATACTCTAAAATCTAATACAGGCAAAAATAAATAATAAAAGTTTTATGTACTGTGTAGCCAGACTAACTATGTAACTATATGTAACTATAAATCTATTAGTACATCCAACACTACACTCTACCCAGACTGATGATGTCACTGTCCAAGGGTAACTTCATTGCTCCTTCATGCAGAATGGGGGCACCCTAAGACAGGAGTTGTGTCACTGGCCAGATCACTTGGTGAAAATAAAAGAAACAAAGCCTAAAAAAGGAAACTTACGTAGCCTCCATATTGAAGGATTGGTAATTTGCAATATATTGCATTTTGTGGGCATTACATAAACTTAAAAAAAGATAAAATACTGACAGTTTTTTTTTTGGTCTGTTCGGGTGAAGGATTGAAAATACTTACATTACAAATGTTATGTTTTCAAGGATGTATTTGAAGATGTCTATACCTATCCTCTGTGGGGCAGCAAACTCAAAACATGACACAACTCTTTTTCTATTACGGGTAAAAGATTGTACTCAGATTTTAAGTAAATTTGAAAATCATTGTGATTATTGAATAACACTGGGCATAATTAATCTTAAAGTGGCAGTAAACGCTTACCTGTAGGTAAAATTAATATCTCCTAAACGTGAACCATTTAAGAGATATTAGCCCGTTTTGATATTTCCACGCATGAGCTCTGAAGGAATGGCATACCCATCCCGTTCCTTCAGAGCACTGTGCCATGACTCGGGACTCCCAGGCGCATGCTGGAGGGCTTAGTTTCAAGGTAAGTCCTTTATATTGTGCTAGTATGCAATGCAAGATGGAAGCCCCGGGGAGCTGTGACAGTAATACATACTAGCACATTATGCCTTTACCTTGCAGGGGTTTTTTTTCTTTTTTTTATTATGCGGTTTACTACCGCTTTAAAGTGATTATAAAGCTAAAAAGCTTTTTACATAAATGCATTCCTTGCATTAAGATAAAAAAATGTTTTATATTTTTTGTCCTTCCCCTTGTGAAGGGGAAGAGAGGGGAGAATAGGTCTGGTGCTGTGCACAGCTACATCTCTTCTCTTCCTTTTCACACAGGGATTTGGGCAGCAGCAGGAGCCATTGGCTCCTGCTGCTGTCAATCAAATGCAGTGAGGAGAAAGTGAGGGAAGTGCTAAACCCCACTGTGTGTGTCTATGGAGTGTGGCTCTATAGACACACAACTCAGGAGCAAGCACTCACTATGTGCCTCCATAGCTAGTGGCTTGCTATGGGGACACACAAAGAAGAGGAGGAGCCAAGGCTGCTGGTGTGGGACCCGAGATGGGGAGGACTGGGGCCACTTTGTGCAATACCATTCCACAGAGCAGGTGAGTAAAACATGTTTGTTATTTTCATAAAAAAAAACTTATAGTTACAGTTTAACTACTTCAATACCAGGCACTTTCACCCACTTCCTGCCCAGGCCAATTTTTAGCTTTCAGCGCTGTCAAACTTTGAATGACAATTGTGCAGTCATGCAACACTGTACCCAAATCAAATTTTTATCAGTTATTCATCATATATTTTTTGAGACAGATAGAGCTTTCTTTTTGTGGTATTTAATCACCACTAGGTTTTTTTATTTTTTGCTAAACAAACAAAAAAGACTGAAAATTTTGAAAAGAAATGTTTTTCTTTGTTTCTGTTATAAAATTTTGCAAATAAGTAATTTGTGCACTGATGAGACAGCACTGATGAGCACTGATGAGGCTGCGCTGATGGGCACTAATGAGGCAGCACTTATGGACACTGATAAGCTGCACTGATGGTCTCTGATGAGGAGACACTGACGAGGCTGCACTGATGGGTACTGATAGGTGGTACTGATAAGCACTGATGGGCACTGATAAGCTGCACTGATGGGACTGCCCTGATAATCAGTGTAAATATGCCCTATCAGCCTTGCTGGTTACCAGCTCTCCTTTCCTCACACAGTGACAGTGCATGGGACAAGTCTGTTTGCATGTGATTATCTGCAATTGGACACAGCTGATCACATGGTAAAGGGCCGCTGTAATTGGCCCTTTACTTCGATCTGTGATTAGCTGCGTCCACGCAGGGGGCAGTGTTCTGGGAGAACAACCATGAATGCCCTCCCAAAACAAGAAAGCCATGCTGTAGCTGTCTTCAGCTATGGTGCAGTATTGAGGTGGTTAAAGCTGATGTTTAGATATGGAAATTTTTACTTAGTTACATTTGTCCACCTTGGGCCAATGTAAGACTTCAGGTACACTGGGTCTCTTCTAAATGCTTTTCTGCTGGCAGGAGAAAAGCAGCTGCAATTCTCGTAAGCTGCATTATTTCATGCGCATTTAGATGTGTCTAGCACTTGGGCATTTATTCATTTAAATGGCCAGAATATTAATTTATTCTGGTCTTCAAATGAAAAAATGCTCAAGTGCTAAAAGCGCCTAGTGTTAGTGCATGCTTAGCTTTACATGCGCTTTCCCATGTTTAGGTACACAGGCATTTTTTTTTTCTGCCAAAACGCTCCTCTCTTCAAAGCGCAAATTATGTTTTTTTTCTATATAAAAATTAGTAGAAATACCATAAAGAGCGCTCTCTAGTGAAATGCAATATTAACCCCAAAAATTAAAAATAATAAAAATATATATAAATAAATTTATATATATATAAATATAAACATTCAAAACACAAAAAAACTAAATACATAACTAGTATAAAATAATGTAAACACTGCCACCAAAAAGTATGAAAAGTGAACAAATCAATCCGTAATGTAGTATATATATATATATATATATATATATAAAAATATATAAAAATCAGTTCATAATAAAATAAAGTCCAAAATTAATTTCTTCGAAAGTTGTGGTGGAAACTCTATGGATTGATTTGTTAACTTTTTGCACTTTTTGGTGGCAGTGTTTACATGATTTTATACTATTTATTTATTTAGGTTTTTTGAATGTTTATATTTATATATATATATATTTCATTATTTTTTTATTCTTGGGTTATTATTGCATTTCACTAGAGAGCGCTGTTTATGGTATTTTTACTAATTTATATTTTTCAATTTATTTAAAATAGCAGCTCTAGTCACAATTTTGAGTTATATTTAATTATTTCACATTTTTGGCCCGGTGATATAAGCTATTGATTGATTGATTAATTAATTAATGTGTAGCATATATATATATATATATATATATATATATATATATATATATATATATATTTTGATGTTTTTTTTTCCTGCCTCTAAACTCCTGGAAATGCCTATAGTGTGCATTGACACATGTGGGGGAGTTTGGACACAGAAACAAAACAGCTCAAACACCTATAGATGGATGTTTATGGGCTCAAGTGTGCATGAGGCCTTAGTGCCATTCCAGTGGGATCTCTGTGGAAGCTGGAAATGACTGAAGTTGGCACTATTAACAACAGTGATCTCCACTAGCTTCCAGGGTCTGTGTTGAGGAGACGCCCTACTGTATTGTGAACTCAGGCGATTACTCTCTTGGCATGGGCCCCATTCAGGGAAATCTTTGAAGTTTCTCAATGAATGCAAAGCATTTTCTAATTGTATAAGGTGGAGAAGTGGGACAGTGATCTTAAGTGATTTCCATACTAGTGCCTACTACAGTGATTTGCAGCTAACACTGGGATCCCACGGGTATGGCACTCACATACTTATATTGGTCCAAGCTGGACCAATGTAACTATAATAAAATTGCCATACCTAGACTTGTTATTGCTCAGTATATTGCCCCTATACCTGTACCCATACAGCTACCAATGCTTAGATCTGTCACTGTCGGAAGTGTGCAGTGTGTGATACTGTACATAACACCTTTATATTTGTTAATGGATTGTCTCTGGCCTATCTAAACAATCCATTAACAGATTTTACTATGCTTTCTCACCAGAGAAACTATGACAGGCATTACTTTCCTCCAGGAGATTAGCTGTCTCTGCAGTCTTTCTAATAATAGCCTAATGGGATAAACATTTATGATGGCGCTATAATATTATGGAATACTCAAGTGCTGGTGTTCCTATACTGATACATGTACTGAACAATACCCTATAAATAACTAAAATGTAAACCTATTATCAACAATTCCCTCCCATTCCCAACAGGAAATTTGTCACCACCAATTAGGGACATACAACAGTAGTCTATAGGCACAAAATATCTATCCCCTGCCTGTGTCCAGGGCCCATCACTGGCATATGATTGCCATATGAACGATTACGAGTGGGAACGATTAGCTGTGAGCCAGCAGCCTCCAATTTCTTTCTCACATTTACTTGCCAAGACCCAAGTGGGTACATTTACAATTGTGAGTGCACCAAGCTCTGCCTATGCACTGGCTCCACTATAAACCACTCATTTTTATGTTTATAAATACAAAATCAAGAAATGTATTTTCTTAAACCAATACAGCCACCACATCTGAGGAAAGGACTACATACCCCATGGTACCTTGCTGCCTGCAAGCAGTGATTCCTGTACTGACTCCGCCTCCTGAAACTCCTCTCAGCACCTCTGTAGTTCAGAAGGCAGGCTTTGTGATGTGTGACACCGCAGTGCCTACTCAAAGAGCAGAATGACTATGTATCACAGAATCCAAGGAAGTAAATGTGTGGGATCTACACTTTAATGTACATTGTCCTCCTTGGAGAAGAGTGGGTGTGCATAGAGCGTTCTTTGCTGAGCCTTCCCTTAAAGGCTGGCAACCTACCAGGATCTGCTCTCATAAAAAAGATATTACCCAACCTGAATGAGGAGGAGATCGGAGTATGAGATACTAATAATCTATTGATTGGAGGTTCTTTTGGGCTGCTGGCTGATTATCCAGTTCGAGATTTCAAAACCATTCATTATTAACCCCCCTGGCGATATTCCCGAGTGTAGCTCGGGGTAAAGTTTCAGTACCACAAGCGGTAACCCCGTGCTACACTCGGGAATACCATGCAGCGCTGCTCCGGGATCCCTCGATCACTTACCTTGTCCTGCGCTCCCGCGATGTCCCTCCTGCAGTGTCCCTGGCAATGTCCTCCGGCGGATACCGGCATCTGTCATCTGGGTTCCGTCCCTGCGAGCGGCGGGATGTACGGGGGACGGAACGGCGGGAAATTTGAAAATGACAAAAAGTGACATTCACTAAATTCACTAAAATCACATAGTAAAACATTACTGTATCAAACCATTTCACATACATTTTGTCCCTAGTGCTTTCTCCTGTGCCCTGCCTGCATATTTGCTGTTCTTTCTGCCTGGAAACTGAGAAACGTCCATGGCGTCCAAAAAGCGTCCCTTTAGGTCAAAAGCAGTTTTAGACCAGCTAGAGAACAGCGATAGTAAATCAGAACCACTTGCAGAATTGAGTGATAATGATTCATGGGGAAATTCGTCAACAGACACTGAAAACGATTTTGCGACTTTGCTCAGTGATGTGCGAACTTGGCGCTATATTTCAGATTTCAGTGTTTTTGGTTTGATTATATTATTGAATTAAATTTATTATTATATTATTATTTTTTATGATTATTTATTAAATTATAATTTATGATTTCGTGTTTCAAGTTTTAACATACCCGGGATGTTTACTAGACTCTTGTTCAGACAGATTTCAGTGAGTTATTCCTAAAAATTACAGGCCTACAATAAAAAAAATACATATTTCCATGCAAAAAAATGTACCGCTTTGAGCACAGAAATACTGACATAATCAGACCTCTAGGGAGGTTAAGGAGATTGATTGAATCTCTACTAACATTCCACTGCTGGTTGCTCACCAGCTTCTGGTGAGTGTTGAATCTAAAAGGGTGTTAATCACTGCAGGATCACATGGATAGTGGATTACTTTATCTTAAAGAGATATTTACCACTGGAATGAATTGAACTTTTCACATTATATATATTTTTTTATATTTTTTGGTGGATCCTGGAAGAATGGGAGGATCAGATAAGGACAAGGTCATACAGCCATTTTACACAATGTGGAGGATTAACCCCTTAGGCTCCACAGTGAGTATAACAAGTATGCTTTACTGCATATACAGACTGATATTACTGTTGTGGGTTTAGTAACACTTTATGTGTATTATGTAAAAGATGATGAAACCAAATGCACAAGGTGGGCTAGGCTAAAAATGTGCAAGAGGCAAGTGCCCTCCAATGGCTAAGATGATAGACTATGCTATTTTTATACAAATTATGTTAGTCAAACAGTCTTTTTACACAATGCAGAGGATTAACTCCTTAGGTTCCACAGTGAGTATAACAAGCATGCTTTACTGCATATACAGACTGATTTTACTGATGTGGGTTTAATAACATTAAAAGGCATTGAAATCCCAATTAGCCCACGCACTAAGCCACCCAGCTGTGTTAAATGACAATAACAAGGACATATAGCTCTGTCAGACCATTTTTGCTGCAATCTAGGCAACCCTGACAGACAGTACAGCCAGGTTCTGGCAGACTACACTGCAGTGAAGAATGCAGCAGATCCAGGACACACTGTTGCCAGCAATTGGACAGTGAAGGTAAAGCCCCACATCAATAAAGTCATCCCTATGCCCTCTACACCTGGACGTTTTAGATTGCTAGTAGTACTGTAACAGGTGTCCTTCTCTCCCTCTGTCAAAGTGCTGCCTTGCAGGGATTTAAAGGAGGCTCATATCAAGATTTAGATACTTGCACTAATTGTAGGTAAGAATACTTTTACTTTTTTTCTTTTAACATTTTTTTCTTTCTTTTGGGTTGCATAGTATTCAAGATGTCTGTAGATGGATAAAAACTTATAGTCAAAGCCTAACTGCAGCCATTTTTCCCCCAGATGTTTTTAACACAAAAAAGCTCAAGTTGCAATATTCACCTCAACTGTGAAACTTCCCCTTGCAGCTGTGTCCGAAACGCAGTGTACATTTTTACTTATAGACGCAGCTGTGTGTATGTCCTCAGTGCAGGGGCGGACTGACCATTGGGGAACTCGGGCCAGGGGTCAGTAGGGGGCCCCATGAGATGCTCCTGGTACCTTTCATAGGCTTTTTTGGGTGTGGTTTGAGAATGGGCAAGGACACAGAGGCCCTATGATCCCCTATTGCCCGGGGGCCCCATGAGTTGTCAGTCCGCCCCTGCCTCAGTGATTACTATAGTGCTGCTTTAAGATGCAGAAAATGCATTAAAGCGGAGTTCCACTCACCCTGTCAAAAATAAAAGTCAGCAGCTACAAAAACTGTAGCTGCTGACTTTTATAAAACAGCTATTTACCTGTCCCTCGGTCCTACGGTGTGTCCCCTGCAGCCCTTTCACCGACTGTCCTGTATTCCAGGAGGCCGGCATCTTCAGTGTGGGCACCCGGCTGTGATAGCTTGGTACCCACTGCACATGCGTTATGCCTTTACAGCCACTTTCATTGCAAGAGAGAAACTACCAGTGTAGAAATATGTATGATCTGCTATTGTGAAATATTCATTCTTATTTTTGTAAAATTGCTTTGACATGTTTAACCGCTTCACGCCGCCCTATTGCATAAATACTGCTACAGCAGCCGTTCTCAACCTGGGGGTCGCGACCCCTTTGGGGGTTGAACGACACTTTCCCAGGGGTCGCCTAAGACCATCGGAAAACACATATTTCCGATGGCCTTAGGAACCGAGACACCGCTCCTCTATCCGTCTCCAGGTGTGGGCGGGATGACATGCCGTCCCTCTCATCTGGGCACACCCCCGGGATCAATCCTTCGCCGGTGATTGGCCGCCGGAACTGTAGCTCAGGAGAGGCACACAGGCGGCCAATCACCGGCGAGGAGGTGGAGCTTGGAGAGGAGGAGCCGAGCGGCACCGCGCAGATCGAGCGAGTGAAGAGGAGGAGAGTGGCCGGAGAAGGAAGACATCTGACCGGTAAGTGTCTGTACCATGGGAGAGGGAGGGAGCGAGCGAGCCCAGGCTGGAGCAGGGGTCAGCAAGGTAAGTATCATTGGTGTCAGTGGGAGGAATAGTGCCCCATCATTGGTGTCACTAATACCAATGATGGGGCACTATTCCTCCCCCCACTGACACCAACGATGGGGCACTATTCCTTCCCCCACTGACACCAACGATGGGGCACTATTCCTCCCCCACTGACACCAATGATGGGGCACTATTCCTCCCCCCCACTGACACCAACGATGGGGCACTGTTCCTCCCACTGACACCAACGATGGGGCACTATTCCTCCCACTGACACCAACGATGGGGCACTATTCCTCCCACTGACACCAATGATGGGGCATTATTCCTCCCACTGACACCAACGATGGGGCACTATTCCTCCCACTGACACCAGTGTTGGGGCACTATTCCTCCCACTGACACCAATGATGGGACTCTATTCCTCCCACTGACACCAGTGATGGGACATTATTCCTCCCACTGACACCAGTGATGGGGCACTATTCCTCCCACTGACACCAATGATGGGGCACTATTCCCCCCACTGACACCTATGATGGGGCACTATTCCCCCCACTGACACCTATGATGGGGCACTATTCCCCCCACTGACACCAATGATGGGGCACTATTCCACCCAATGATACCAGTGATGGGACACTATTCCTCCCACTGACACCAGTGATGGGACACTATTCCTCCCACTGACACCAGTGATGGGGCACTATTCCTCCCACTGACACCAGTGATGGGGCACTATTCCCCCCACTGACACCAATTATGGGGCACTATTCCTCCCACTGACACCAATGATGGGGCACTATTCCCCCCACTGACACCAATGATGGGGCACTATTCCCCCCACTGACACCTATGATGGGACACTATTCCTCCCACTGACACCAATGATGGGGCACTATTCCCCCCACTGACACCAATGATGGGGCACTATTCCTCCCACTGACACCAATGATGGGGCACTATTCCTCCCACTGACACCAATGCTGGGGCACTATTCCTCCCACTGACACCAATGATGGGGCACTATTCCTCCCACTGACACCAATGATGGGGCACTATTCCTCCCACTGACACCTATGATGGGGCACTATTCCTCCCACTGACACCAATGATGGGGCACTATTCCTCCCACTGACACCAATGATGGGGCACTATTCCTACCACTGACACCAATGATGGGGTACTATTCCTCCCATTGACATCAGTGATGGGACACTATTCCTCCCACTGACACCAATGACGTGGCACTACTCCTCCTACTGCAAAATTACAGTTATGAAGTAGCAACGAAAATAATTTTATGGTTGGGGGTCACCACAACATAAGGAACTGTATTAAGGGGTCGCGGCATTAGAAAGGTTGAGAACCACTGTGCTACAGGGTGGCACGGGTGTGCAAAATCACAAATATATACATGATTTTGCAGTTCCAGGTAGGGGGTGCCACCATTTGTGGCATCAGCTGTCAATCACCAGGTCCTGGCTGGTGATTTCCCGCCGGCATCCAGCTATCTCCAAGAATTTCCGACGGGGGAGAGACTAGTATGTAAACAATACAGATCTCTCTCCTGTCAGCTCCTGCACACTGCTTTGTATGGTTCTGCATAGCAGAGCCATACAAAGCAGTGTGCTTACAACGAAAAACACACACAACCCACACAACCCACATAGTAAACAGCACACAGTTAACCCTTTGATCGCCCCAGATGTTAACCTCTTCCTGCCCAGTGTCATTAGTACAGTGTCAGTGCTTTTTATTAGCTTTGATCACTGTATTCGTGTCATGGGGAACAGTGACACCAAGTCAGTTCCCCCCAGTGTCAGAATGCCCACCACAGTCCCGCTATAAGTCAATGATTGTTACAATTAATAGTAAAAAAAAAAATTCCAGTATTTATACCGCCATTTGTAAACGCTAGAACGTTCATGTAAACCAATGAATTTACACATATTGGGATTATTTTAGCAAAGACATGTAGCAGAATACATTTTGGCCTAAATTTATGACAAAATTTGATTTTTTTTATTTATTTACTAGACATGTTTAATAGCAAAAAGTCAAAAATTGTTTTTTTTTTTTCTCAAAATTGTTGGCCTGTTTTTTTTATAGCACAAAAAAACCCAAAAACGCAGAGGCAATCAAATACTACTGAAAGAAAGATCTATTTGTGGGAAAAAAGGACATACATTTCATTTGGGTGCAGTGTTGCATAACCGCACAATTGTCAGTTAAAGTAACACAGCACCGTATCGCAAAAAATGGCCTGGTTAAGAAGGGGGGTAAATCCTTTGGAAGGCAAGTGGTTAAAACATATCTTGTTTATATACAAGGTCTGGGATGGTAGGTAAAAGATCTGACTGCTGAACTAGCATTTTTAACACAATTATGGCATAAACATACACATTGATTGCTGGAATGAACATGCATAGACACCCCTGGAAGAACAAGTGTTGGCCAAGAAAGCACAACCCAGTCAATCAATTCTTCCCTGACAGATTGTGTAACCAGTGTTCCTGCAGAGGTTATGGAGTGCCGACAGAAATACAGAGATTTTGATCTGACTTTATTTTGGCAAGCGGATTGACAATCACTGCACATCTATGGGCCCTTTAATTCCGAAATACACATGGCTTGTATTATTATATCCACGGTTTATTTTTTTCATGTAATGACAATGACCTTTCTTTTATCCTACAGTCCATTCTCTTTGATTGGAGGCTTTACATTTCACAGAACAATGGCAGGAATGTGTTCAGAGTGCAGGTCCAGAGGGAAAATATTTCACACATTAGTAGCTGGTGCTAGAAAAGACTGTCATATTAGTAAATACGTCAGCTATTCAGAACATGAAAACATGCAATCATTTTTAAAAATGTTTATGTGAAATACATTTAAAGATTATTGCGGAGTAGTCTGTGTACTGTGTTGCCTTCCAGATCATCACAATTAAAAAAAATTATTAAAAAGCAACAACTGCAAAATATTATTTAAAAAAAAACAACTGCAAAGCATTAAACCTCTCACTGCCACAGCCAGTTTTGCACACATATTAAAATACAGGTTTTAGGCCTCAAGATTAACTGACAATTGCGTGGTCATGCAACGCTGCACTCAAATGAAATTTACGTCCTTTTTCCCCCCACAAATAGAGCTTTCTTTCGGTGGTATTTGATTGCCTGTG